ATATATCTTACTCTTAGGCCAAAAAAAAAAATATTCGGTCTCTGGTCAGACCAAAGTTCCGGAATTGACGCGGCCACGCGGCCCCTTTTTTTTTTTTTTTTTTTTTTTTTTCTTCAAGCTTGGATTGTACAGACAAGGTGGGGAACTATTATGCTTTTTTGGTGTCCTCATGTACATTGGTGTCCTCCATTATTTGCCTTGGTGCTTTCGATCATTTGCCTTGGTACAATTTCCCATTCCTTGGTGCTCTTTGGTAAACAAAATTGAGGAGGTGCAAACTTGCTACTTGCGCAACTTTGAAATTTGCGCGCGCAAGTTTCAAACTTGCGCAAGTAGCAAGTTTGTGCTCAACAGTACTAGTAGTAACGATTGCACGAGGAACAGCGTGCGCGCGAAGGTTTATTAGTCAGACCCTATTTATATCTAACAGTACGTCTAGATTCCAGACTAGCTGCTACAACTCCCCAGTTCATTAGGAATTTTACTGAAAGGTATGCGACAAGGTATGCAACAAAATTCACGACATTGCAAACAAATTCGCATACGTGTGCGCACATATTCGAGAATTGTTTCACGACATCGCATACGTGTGCGCACATATTCGGATAAATTTTGCGACATCGCATACGTGTGCGCACATATGCGCGATAAATTTCTCAACAACGCATACGTGTGCGCACATATTCGCGAATTGTTTCACGACATTGCATACGTGTGCGCACACATTCGCGAGAAATTTCGCGACATCGCATACGTATGCGCACACGTTTGCGATATGCGATGTCCCTTCAGGGCCACCATACATACGCACATACATCGTATGTCAGTAAGCCCGCAGGGCACGTGTTACTGAGTTCAAATCCTGACCACAGTGACTGTTTTAGCCGATTTTCGGCTAACTTTGACAGACTTTATGTTCATGCATAGTCAGAGACGTATTATTGATTAAAAAAAATCATAATGCGGAAAAGCCCTATGTTCTGTTGCAAACAGACATAGATCTCTAGTTTGCTATTCTAACTCTTGGGAATATTTTCAATCAAATGACAGGCGTAAAAAAAATACGATTTCTTTTTCCTTCTCATAGTAGGTTCTCAGCCGAAGTTAAGAACTACTCAGTAAGATATATCAGTGAACGGGAAAGACTCGTGGAGAAAGCTGTGTACAAGGTCTATGAGAAAAATTAATTATTCATAAATCCATAATAACTCACTTGATGACGTCACCATGACGTCACTCTTCGGGACACATCTTGGCTATAGGGACTATGCTTATGCCAACTTTCAATGATATCTGAGAAAGATTAATGCCAAAAGTGCTATAATACGTCCCTGTCTATGCGCATGCATGATCATAAAATCTGTCAAAGTTAGCCGAAAATCGGCTAAAACGGTCACTGTGGACAGGATTTGACCTCGGCAACACGTGCTCTGCAGGCTGACTGACATACGATGTACATGTACATGTATATGCGTAACGTACGTGTATGTACATATAGACGTTCTGTGCATGTTTTAGAAAAGTGTCACAATTTAATTGCCTATAAATACACACCGGATGACGTCATCATGACGTCATCATGACACAATGTGCATGTACATGTACATTGTGGACGTCCTGTCCTGTGCATGATTTGAAGCAGAGGTATTGTCATCGTGAAGTTTTAAGCGTGCGCAGGGTATGTTCGAGTTCGCTTATCGCCTCGAAACTTTGAAATGTTTTAGACCTACCCTTCAATCAACAATTAAAGTAAAAACAAATATAAAAACTGCCATGGTTGATTTTTCAGGAATTTTCAAATAAAAAAGGGTCTTTTTATTATAACTTCTGGTCTGATGATGTCAATCGCCTAAAACTTCGCACACATCTTAAGTTGGTCAAGGTCATTATGTTCACCAATATTTAGGCGATTCCGACAAACTTCGCCACAGTCACGTGATTGCACGCACACTGAATGAAATGAAGACCTCAACCTACTCTACCACTTGCCGGCAACAGAATGCTGCGGACGCGTACGGTTGATTTCTTATGCATTTTTAAATATAAAAAGTGTCACAATTTAATTGCCTATAAATAAACACAGGATGACGTCATCATGACGTCATCATTACACAATGTTGTTTGAATTAGGGTCTTTGCTTGGACAAAGAGTGGTGTAAATGAATAACTGGCAAAGAGTCGAGAATGCCCTTTGAAAAGCGACAATTTTTTTTCGATTTCTGTGTACAAAGTCTATGGGAAAAATGAAATATTCAAAAATCTATAATAAATTAGTCGATGATGAAGAAGGGAAAAAAAAAAATGAGAACAAAAACAAAGGCTTTTCCGCACTTTGCGGAAAAGCAAAAAAAAATCAGAACAAAAACAAAGACTTTTTTGCAAAATTGCGAAAAAGCCAAAAAAATAAAAAAATCTTAACGAAAACAAAGGCTGTTTCGGCAAAAGTAACGAAACAGCCAATAACTAGCGGTTGTAGAAACAACCACACGGTGTTGGGCCATGGATTACCGCAAACTTTGCCACACACATCAACTCAAAATATGCATGTTTTAAATCCATGTTTGACTTTTCAACATGCCGCCAGACGTCACCTTTTACGTCACCTGTAAAATTGTTGTACAGTACTGCCTAGGCAGACACTCGAATCGTTGAAAGCAAGTTCGCATCTTCTGCTAATTTCAATTAATAAAGCACTTCCGGTTTTGACCGGAAGGAAGGGTCACGTGATTTTGCACTTAAAACCAAAAATGAAGACCCTGCAATATTTTATCGATTGCCATAAAAAGCAAAATCAAATCTTTAGCAGTTGATTTCATATTGATTTTCAAAGATTAAATATGGAAACATTTATTTGCTTGTAATATGACACTTGATGACGTCATTGTGACGTCATCGCCAGAAACCTCCAGAGCTATATTTACTCTGCTATATATAGCCACATCTTGATTATATCTCTCACGGTTGATTTTTTAGCAATTGTTTAAGGTTTAAAGGTCTTTTCTTTATAACTTCCGGTCTGATGACGTCATCCATTTTTTTTTTCGCGCACAGGTCTTTTCTGCATTAAGTTCATCATGTATGTTAGGTTTGAAGCGATCACCGCAATTTTTGTCACCTACATCAAGTGATAATGCATTTTTTAAACTGCCGCCAGAGGGCGCTCTAACATTTGATGATGTCACCTGTAATATGTTTGTACAGTGCTGCCTAGGCAGACACTCACATCGTGGAAAGCAAGTTCGCATCTTCTACCAATTTCAAATAATAAGGCACTTCCGGTTTCGACCGGAAGGAAGGGTCACGTGATTTTGCACTTAATACCAAAACTGAAGACCTTGCAATATTGTATCGATTGCCATAAAGAACAAAATCAAATCTGTAGCAGTTGATTTTACATTGCTTTTCAAAGATTAAATCTAGAAATCTTTGATTACTTGTAATATGATACCTGATGACGTCATTATGACGTCATTACCAGAAACCTCAAGAGCTATATTTATTGTGCTGTATACAGCCAAATCTTGATTATATCTATTACGGTATATTTTCTAGCAATTTTTTAAGGTTTAAAGGAATATACAACATTTGCAAACATCGAAAAATAAAACTACCAAGTTTTTACGAAATACCTTATTAGGATGTTGGTAAATGACAGTCTAAGGCATCCTGTAAAATTATGGCACCTGTTGTCAAGTCATTTTCAAGAAACTTGTATTTTTGTATACATTTCCAACGGTGGTCGGCCGATCACCGTTGGAAAAACCTAACTATTTTTCAACTACTGCTCCAAATTTACACTTTTCAGTCAAAATTTTGTTTGCTATTGGTTACATGTTCATGAACGGATGCAGGCCAGCTAGACTGGTTCCCTTACCTTACAATTTTCCGACAACTATAAATTGATCCATTTTGTCTTTAGTGGAGTCAGGGAACCAGACTACTTAAACATTTTTTGTTTTTCTTGGTTTTTCAAGCATTTTCAAAACACAAAACTTCAAACATGTCAGTTAAACAATATTTGATCTAATCCTATTATACTAACCCCTCAAATAGTTCATTTCTGAAAATTACAGCAAAAGCCAATGATGTACATTCCCTTTAAAGGTTTTTTTATTGTAACTTCCGGTCTGATGACGTAATCATTTTTTTTTTAGCGAACAGGTGTTGACTGCATTATGGTCATCATGAACATTTATTTTGAAGCGATTACCGCAAACTTCGCCACAGACATCAAGTGAAAATGCATTTTTGACGTTTTGTAACCTGCTGCTAGAGGGCGCTCCAACACTTCATGGCGTCACCCATTATTTTTTTTGAAAGGTCAATCCAGGCAGACACTTAAATCGTTAAAAGCAAGTTCATATCTTTTTCCGGTTTCGACTGGAAGGAAGGGTCACGTGATTTTACGCGCACAGGATAAAATGAAGATCATGTATTACCATGTCGATTCCCGCAAATTTCAGGTTCCGGTCTCTCATCTTGATTTTATATGGAATTTCAAAGATTAAATTTATTAAACTTTCGAGTGACGTCACGTGACCCATGATGACGTTATGATGACGTAATTACAAGAAAGACCATATGCGGTGGATTGGGCATTCATGTATTGACAAATGAAGTTCATATATGTTTCCATTTCTCCAAACAGTTCCGGAAACGAATTCTTGAGAACATGCTGAGAAGAATACAAACAGTAAAATCTTACAAAAACAAGAGGTATTGGGCTCAAGGCCCAACACCTAATAATGTAAACATAGATGAAAAGTACAGGTATATCTGTCACCTGTACTTTTCATCTACCAATGGCTGTACAATGAACTAATAGTGTGGTGCAATTGGGCGATAGCACAGATCCACCAATTGCGTCCAATAGAAACAGGAACGTTCATGTTTTCATCATGCTGGAAAGCTCAATTGGCACATTTATATCGCAATCCAGTCAACTTTATAATTCTTTTATACATGTAATTTAAATCCATTTCTTTGTTTTTGTCCTCTAGACAGTTGCATGTGGTGATACTTACACAGTAGCTGGCACATCCAAGAATGCCCTTTTCATGTGGGGAAGAGGATGTCGTCCAGCACCACATTCAAATGAAGGAATTGACAAAGAGTTTAAGAACTGTGACAAGGATCGTTGTTCAGTCACAGGCCTGGCTCTTCCCTCTGATAAGTCAAATGGTGAAACTTTGTCAATAAATGATCGTAAGTATATTGTCAATCCCAGCTTTTCCTCCAGTACATGTATGTGTGAATAGGATCAGGCAGAACATTTAAAGCCAAATAGAATATTATTGTTTGCTCATTAATACATAGATAATAGATGTTTTGTAAGTGGAGGTTCATCCAACACAAAAAGAACAAAGAACAATACTTTGACCCCAACGTCAGTATTTAAAACAAGTAAGCCAACTTAAAAGTCCCTGTTTTTGTCATAAAAGACAAACACAAGCCTGAAATAGCATTTGTGAGTGGAATCTATGAAACAAGGAATAATAAGTTTTTTCCATGTTAGTTTCTCATATACAGTAAGAAAGAACATACAATGAAAGAAAAATTGTCTGTATTTTCCTTTGGTACAATGACACTTACACTGATGTATTTTGAACTTTACTGCAGAAATTCCAAGAAGTGCACCCCCTTGCGTTGGCCAAGCAGTTGGCAATGACAGCGTTTTTACATTTGAAGAGCAGTCTGTACTCCCTCAACACTCTTCTGAAGAATCATATCAGTCAGGTAATATATATGACCAAGAAAACCCCCCTTATTTTTATATGATCTACCTCATCTGAAAATATGTTCATGGTGTGCATCAAATCATAATTTGATTTGTTTCAAAGTTACCAAGAGCTCTCATGGATATTTAGAGAGTTGCATGCAGCATGAACACATCGGAAGTGTTGTCCCTGGCAAAGGTGCTAATTAACTTGTGTGATATGAGGGTACATGTAGTTACAGAGAACAATTCGCATGCGTTTGATGCACTGCATGTTTACAATAATTATTGTGTTAGGGCGATTCGAATGTCTTGTCATTTACACTTACATTTGACATTTACTTTATTTCTCGGGATAAACAGTAAAAACCAACACATACAAATTAAAAGACAACAGAAAACAAAAAGAAGCTAACAGTTCCGGAAGGATTTCCCAAAAGATACAATGTTTCTGTCGAGGGGCTCTCCTGACTAAAAGGTTCACACATAAAATGCAATAAATTAAATTAAATTAAAGTAATCAATTTAAATTAAATTAAAAATAGCATTAAAAAAATAATAATAATAAAAAACTAGAGTTTCGCGTTTGTTGAGTTACAAACGCAGAGTGGTCGGGCGGACAGCCTTTTCATTATTCACTGCCCAGTTAAGTTAGGAATATATGTTTATATAGAAAAAAGGATCACGAAATTAAATCCCTTCAAGTACAATCAATGTTTCAAAAAGGTATCTTTAACGGTGTGATAAATTTCAGTAAACATTCTATGTGCACAAAAAGTTATTTCTGGTTTGATGACGTCATCAGTCAAAAATGGTTAGTGAATACTGATTAAGTTCGGAGAGGATAATTTTTCATTGTAAAGTTAAAATAACGTATGAAAACATGGGAAATATAATTGTTTGTATTAATAACACCTAACTTCCAGTTTTATGACGTATTGATAACACCTAACTTCCGGTTTGATGAAGTCACAGTATTAGAGATCCAAAGGTGAACACTGTAATGGATATCATTATTTGGACTTCGAAGATATGACAGGGATCAAATGATAGAATTAAAATAAAACTATGATCTTTTTCAAATTCTCCTTAAAGTAACTTCCGGTCTGATGACGTCATGAATTTGAAACCTTGCCAAGTTGTCTGTGGTTAATCAGAGAATGTCAAGGGGCGATTTGGTAAAATTTGGACGGATGGTTTTACAATTAAAGAAGGGAAACTCTATTTTATGTGCCGATAGGGGGCGCCCTTTCAGATGATGACGTCATCACACTGTTTTTTGCATCTTGCATTCCTCACTAAACACTTTCATAATATATATGTCTGTAGTAAAATGCTTCCGCTTTTGAGTTATATTAAGTTTTTATTGCACTTCCGGTAACACCGGAAGTAAAGGTCAAGCGGTTTTGTGTCCGGAAACACGAAATGTTTCTCACGGCATAGTCTACAACGTCACGAAAAAACGAACACGATACTCTATTTAGTTCAAAAGATATAACGCAAGCTATTTTGTCAAAATTTGCCGTAAAATCGCTTGTAATTTGATACCTTATGACGTCATGATGACGTAACAAAATGTATTACATCTTCGTAACATGGTACAAGTTCGCACAAGGTTTTGTGATCATACCGTGACCCGTTCGGAAGAAATGCTGCTTTGTTTTGATGTCAGGCTAACGTCTTCCTTTTGAATTGACCTAACTTTGACCTTCCGGTTGACCCGGAAGTAGAGGTCAAGCGAGTTCACGTACATGACAAAAATTGTTTAGCGATTAGTGGTCTATCTGATTACAAAATACAAACATCATTGATTGTTTAGTTCAAGAGTTATAGGTGAAAGTAATTGGTCACTTTTTGAGATAAAATCACTTGTAATTTGACACCTGATGACGTAATCATGACGTCAGAGTAATATGCACCACTTCGGATGAGGGTCGATATATATTGAAAGTTACAAGTTCATACCATATACCGATTAAGAGAAAACCCGCGGAGAAGTATTGTCCGGAAAAAAAAAGAAAGAAAGAAAGATTAATCGTAACAGATCCAAAGAGTGGTCGGGTTGTGCCCGACCACTCAAATATATAATCTTCAAAGAAATCGCGAAAAGAAACTGAGTATGTGCATTACAATTAGTTAGATTAAATAAATAGGATTCAATTAAACTAATTGAAAAATAAATAGATGACAAAAAAAGTAATGATAAAAGAACGATACGCAAATAAAATAAAATTTAAAAAACTTGGTAGGATGAACAAAAACAAAATTAAAATTTCTAGCAAAACAAGCAAAGTAACATTAACAAGAAGGCATGCGTAAAAGGGACAAGACAAAAGTTAACAACACCATACATGTATACCACCTCACAACAGTCAACAAATGTTTTGTTATCTCGTACCATTCAGTCAAAAAGATAAAAAGTTGTTACTTACTTTGAAAGAAATAAATATGATCACTGCGTTGAAACCTTTTGATAACTATGAACTGTCCTGCCAGACAAGAGATTGAGTCATACAGCCCTCAGTCACTAGGCACATGGGCCGGCTCTACATAGGCGCACAATGCAAGGCGAACAGTGATATAGAATATAGTGTTGATGAAGTAAACGGTTATTTTTACAGACTGGACACATTGCCATTCAAGATCAATGAAATTACAGTATCAAAGACATGAAATTACAATTAAGCATTTACCATATTGACATTGGCCTCCAGCTTCACATCTGAAGTTTTATACATTCACAATTTTTTTTTTCAAAGCAAATGTGAAATTCTTGGCAATTTTTATGTTTAAAGCGTTAGTAGAATGCAGGTATATCATGCATATAGTCATTAATTATAGTGCTTCAAATTTATAGAGTAATTGACGTGGTATTTTATATTCATAAATACCTCAGACAGTTTAGCTATTCCTATTGGTCGAGAGCCTGTCATGTGGCCGGTCTTAAACGGATGATAAAGACATGGCTAGCTGGTCTTAAACACTTTTCCAGTGTCACAGTAAAATGTGGACTCCTAAAAATCCAGTGCCTCTTACCGTTTCATTGGTTGAACGTTCACAATCCTCACGTAGGCATGCGCAACACTACAAGCGAGTCAGAATTTTATAGTTCTAAATTCAAAACGCAACGCCCCAGGTGCGTTCTGCGTGACGTTGTGCAGAACATGCTACGCGCGCGTCAATCTCCATAAAAGGGTTGTTTGCATCTTACTCGCCAGCTGAACACTCCATTATTTTGCTAGAGGGATGTTTCAAAAAGCATGAAGTGAACTTGTTGAACAAAATCGGGATTTTTTGAACGAATTATTTGATATTTTTTTTACGGATAAGGTATTTATGAATGGGAATAAATATGTGCTTGGTCGGTATTTATCACTCTGTTTAATACCGCTTAGAGTCTGGGTGCTGATAATTACCCTCCCCTCCGGCTCGGGTAATTATCAGCACCCAGACTCTTAAGCGGTATTAAACAGAGTGATAAAAACCTCCAGAGCACACATTTATTCCTGTAATAAAGCACACTTGAATCCTTGATGGTCTGGATTGATCATACTAACGCAGCTATAGTGTGCTATTCCATATTTCACAGCGTGTATTTAACAATTGTTGACTGGTGTGATGTGGGATATGATGTTTTGAACCCCCGAGGGGCGCATAGCATCGAGGGTGTTCAAAACGTCATATCCAACATCACACCAGTCAACAATTGTTTTGTTATACCTATATGTCTTGGATTTTTTGGATTTTGATGTAAAAATCAAGAAAACAAACAGCAGTAAACACAACAATCATGACAATCTAATGGCAACTCACATGCATGTCGCGTGCTCGAAACAGCTGATAGTCTGCAAGTTCGCTGCGTTTTACGTGTGAAACGCGTATGTATGCGTACGTATTGTACGCACAAAGTCATAGCACACTCCCTGTGGGATATCACGTCACAGGGAGTGTGCTATGACTTTTTATAAACTAAACACGTGATCGTTCTAGGCCAATGAAAATACAGTATTCAAGACAGAGGTATAACAATGCACATTATTGCACATTGCACATTACAGCGTACTGTAGTTTCCTTGCAGACCAATTAACAATTACCACAAAATAACAGGGGCAGATCTAGCTAGGGGGGGGGGGGTCTGAGGGTATGCCATGTGGAAAAATTAGACATCTCTGAAGATTTCTTCTTCATTCTGAGGCAATTCAAGAATAAATGTAGGAACTTGTACATTCATTATTTGGCCCCATTTTACAAGTTTCATAGCTTTATTAAGTATTACTTTGTTTCAAACAGGTATCCAACAAAACAGGAAAAACATCAACAGTGCAAGTAGTGCACTCAGTGTTGAAAGTCAAAGTAGCCAAGATAAAAGACATTTACTCTTGCAACCTCAGCCAATTTTCATGTAAGTATGAGTCACCTGAAGTTTGAAGATTTATAAGAATCATTGCATTGATAATGGTTGTCAAATAGGTGAAGGGCAAAACCTAATATTGATTTACATCACCCCGATGCAAATTCCATCTTATGAATGGTTCTCAAATAAATTTATTGTTGTTTGGTTTCCTTGGAAGCACCACTTGTTACTTAATATAATCATAGTAAGTGTTGTTTCTTCAGTCTATTCGGATAATGTAGATGAAGGTATTGCATCAGTAGATACTACACAATTTTAGAACACAGAAAAACAATGTGCACAGTTTTTTGGCCTCGTAAAGTTCTTGTTGCATATTTTGAACTAATATTGTGGTAATTTTAGGTTTCTGTGCTCCAGTTATAACATGTGCACCTCTAATGTCACCTCTAATGTCATAAAGGAATGGAATGCCTTTTGTTGTGGTCATGAAGACAGGATTAGGGGTGCTAATCAGATCAGGGAGATTACTGCTATGAGAGACAGCCATACATGAAGTTTATTTAGATTTTTTAGAGTTTGTTTTTGTGTATTTTTGTTTTTGCGTAATTTGTATGTGTATACGATTTGTATTTCTTTTTATTGTGCATTTTATGCGAATAAAGAATCTGATATCACAAACAAGGCCAATACACAATGCTTACTGACTTTTTTTGCGATGACAAAGTTCCCGCCAAAAAATCAAAACTTTGAGTGCTCCTTACTTTGTGAAGAAATGCAGTGCTATGGGCTCCGTGCACAAGTACCCCATCAATGGCCAGAAAAAGAGAAATGGGGGAGACCTAGCCTGGTTCCCAGTCTATCCACTACTTATTTCGAATGATCAAAAGTTATTGTGGGTGGGGATTTGTCTGGGAAACCATCGCGAGTTAAATTTGAACGTATTTGACGCAAGTTAAATTTGAACGTATTCAACGCCTGATGCTCGCGCACAAAGACGCTATGGATTAGCTTTGTGCACATTGAGGATAAATAAGTCATGCGTACTAAGCGTGCGAACCAGTACATTACAGAATGCACAGGCAGTGTCCCGTCCAAGGGATTCTCAAAAGTGGTAAAAACGCGCCCTCTTTTGTTGGCGCAAAGAGCCCATAGTCCCAATGACATTGCTTTACTAACTGGTCAAATAATAACTTGCATGAGCAACTTAAGGTCCTCAAGACATCAAGCAACATACACGCATGTGCATTCATAGAATGCCTAGATGTTGAGTAATCTTGTGCATGACTGAGTATTCATTTATTTTCAGGCTTGGCACAGACACAGATGGTGCAAATGAATCATACCAAGTGACGCTAAGTAATGTACTTTGTCAAGGAGAACACATGCTTGTCCATGTTGAAACTACGTGCCCTCCTCCAAGAAGGAAAAGTAGGAAAAAACGGAGAACCATCACCCGAAAGCTGTAAGTGCATTCTGTAAATAACACAACTCTGGGAATTTACATTCATTTCGTTAAAATAATTTTTAACAATTGTACAATCAATGGTTGAATTTGACAAGATAAAAATGCCAAGTAAACATCGATGGAGAAAGAAAATTACTGCAAGTTAATCACAGAACTTGATCTCTCTTGTCTGTGTATGTATTTTCCGTGTTCATGAATATATTTCAAAGTTGTACCCTTTATACAGACGGCGTTGGCCTGTTTTCCGTGGTTCTTCTTCTTTTGTGTCCATCATCTATGTTCCAAATGTTCGGCCAGGCTCTTGCACAGTGAACAACCTTCTCGTTTGCCACCGCTAGATCTTCCTGGCAGCACTGTTCACCAAGAAGTGGGCATCTTAGTAGGTGTGGCATGGATTGTACAGATGTTCCACATTCACATTCTGTGTCTGCCAAATCTGCATAGCCCCATTTGCTCATGTTGGTCTTGTATCGGCCCATCCCTGTATGAAGCCTGTTGAGGGACTTCCAGGTCTTCCAGTCACATATTTGACCAGGTGGTAGCTGTTCCTTGGTTGGGATTGGCAGCTTTTCGTGGTGGCGGTTCTCACTGCATTTATTTTCCCACAAGGCTAGTCTAGTTGCTTGAGGAGACTGTGACAGTGGTTGGACTGTGTGAAGGAAGCTTTTTCTTGACTTCAGGTGGTTTGGGGCTGGGTGATGGAAGTGACAGGGATGGCGGGTGTCCCAACTTGCCTACTTCGTTCAGATCTTATTTGGTACTCGGTACTTGGTTGGCGGTCCTCCAAAATATTCCATCTAGGGAATTTAAACCGGAGGTGTGATGTAGTGAGAGTGGTCAAGATTAGGTTTTTTTCACAAAGAGCATTCTTAAAGGAGTCTGTGTTGGTGAGCGCCACTGTTGAGTCCAGGAGGTCATTCCAATGTTTAAGTGTTCTGAGGAAAAATGAAGAAGCATATGTGTCGGTCCTGGCCTGGTGGAGTTGGAACTGTCTGTTGTGTCCTCGTCGTGATCCTGCAGTATCTAGTATCTACTGGCAGCTGATCTACAAACTCCTGGTGGAGCAATACCAGCCAAGACATGCAAGCTATCCACATCCGTTGGTTTTACACAATTGTTGACCAGCGAGAGGAGCCACTTCCTTGTAATCTACCCAAAATGTTTGATCTGTGTGAATGTCATCTAGACCAGCTGCCTTGCCGTTCTTGAGGCAATCAATTGGAGTTCCTTGCTGTCAAAGCACCTGGTTGGCTCTTTATCAGTAGAAAATAATGATTTTTTTTTTTTTAATTTAAATTACATGTTTATACGTTCCTTTTGTTGTGCGTTTTCAACCACTTTTGTGTAATGTTTGTTTGGTTTTGTATCACTGTTTGTAAATCTTTGTTGAGGTCAAATAAATAATAATAATAATAATAATCACCCTGATACCATGGACTCCTTTTGAGCCGTTTCTTGTGTGGTGGTTTACCGTTCAGAAGCAGTTGGTGAGCAACCTGATCTGCTGTAACGTTAGAGTGCAGCATGCCAGCGTTGCCTTCTGGGGGTCATTGTTGAGCTTCTTGATGGTTGACCAAGCTCTCTTATGGTTGTGTGTCATATCCACACTCATAATAAGTTCTTGCCAGGATTTCCTTCGTTCCTCTGATATTGCTGCCATGAGCATCTCCCTTGTGTTCATGGTTTCCTCTGAGAAGGGATCTTCCTCGTACAGTTTGAGCACTTCTCGACAGTGTTGTAGTACTCGTTCTCGGTACTCGTACTCGAGTGCTACTCGAGTACTTTTTTGGAGTACTCGTACTCCTACTCGAATGTCAAAGTACTCGTACTCAAAATGACAGTACTCGTACTCGGGCATTAAAGTACTCGTACTGGACATGTCAAAATTGTACTCAATCATTAAAGTACTTGTACTCGAATAGCATTACTTGGGGGGAATGTTATAGCTTCACTTACCATGGCCTTATTTTATCGATACTTTCAGTTTGAAATGGTTGATTGGCTTGTGGAGAAATCAAGTTTTCCTGATTTTCCTCTGTGCAAGTCCTGGCAAACACATTTAACAGCTAGCTGTGAGTGGGTCTGTATATCGGTCTGACTGGGCCTGGGCCAATTACGCACAACCATTTGCCGTATGGCCGTATTCGGAAATGCGAGTACTCGTACTCTAAAGTACAAGTACTCGTACTCGGAAGTACAAGTACTCGTACTCGGAAGTACAAGTACTCATACTCGGAGACCCGTTCTTGTACTCGGAGGAACAAGTACTCGTACTCGTACTTGTACTCGTACTCTGCAACCTATTAAAGTACTTGGCAGTACTCGGCGGCAGTGTTCTAGCCAGGGTGAAATTATAGCGTAGGGGTAATTTTGGTTTGGCCACTAATGCGAGCGCGGAGCGCGAAGCTCTTACGGCGTGGGGTTCGGGGCCCGCTTAAGGGCCCCGAAAAATTTTGGACTCTAGATGCTCTGTGGTGCAATCTGAGGCGATTCCCTACCACTTTCCCCTGATTTTTTTTTAGCAGAAGTGTTTAAAATTATAAGAAATTTTGTTTTATTTGCTTCAATGATTGATACGCTTGCTCCTGTAATTCCTTCCTCCATGTGTAAAGTTTCTTCTGTTTTCAAATTTTAGATTATGTTTACAATGTACAAATTGTTCCAAGATCGATGCTTTCTGATGTTTAACCATTTTTAGTAGTTCCTCAATGTTTTATAAAAAATTAGGATTTACTTTGTCAATATTAATGGTGAGAACAAATCGCATGAACATTTCATATTTCAAGAAGCCTTGTGTTGTGTAGCGCTGCTGTAGTAGCAGTAGTTCCGATTTTAAATTTGTAAATAAAACCATCCGATCGGCAGGGAGAGAAAGTGTAAAACCATGGAGGTCTCAGGCAGAAAAAGTCATCGGCGATTGCAATTTCAATATGCTACAACACAATGTGAAGGAGAAATCTCATTTTTGTTATGTTAAAAAATATAATTGTAGATAATGACAATGAGAAATAATCACCGGGAATTGCTTCCTATCCCGACCAAAAATCCAAATTTTCGACAGCGTAATTCTTCGAGAAGAATTCTTCACGTGCGGCCATCTTGGTGGACGGATCCATTTATATCGTAGGGGTGCTTAACCTTTCTTTGGACATCGTTTCTCGAATAAATCCTTTACGAAAATTATGTTCCGACGTTGAAGAACTTATTTTTAAACAGTAACATGTTTCAGACTTGATAAAAAGTATTATTTGTAAGTTTTAAACAGTTGAAATGCTTGTAAATATTGACCTTAGGAAAGCACATCCGATACCGCAAAATGGTGTGGTCCACAGAGTGCTCTGTACGTGACATGTACGTGACGTTTCGACACGTACGTCAGTACGGAGCGCTGTATCTACGCAGCACAAAACAGCACGTGCTTATATTGCTTTCATAGCGAATGCGTGTGGCGCAGCATCACGGTAGGGGTATCGTACGGGGTACGTGCGGTGGGATCGTCGTTTATTTTTCGCTGTGTCGTACGGCAAGTGCGCAATGCTCAAAGTCGCTGCGCTTGTATACGAACAAACGGCAGATATATTTTTTTTCGCAACCAAAATTTATAGCGTAGCGGTAGCGTAGCGGCGCGATTTAAGCGTAGCGCTTATTTCCGAAAGCGTAGCGGGTGCTAGCGCTATTTGATGCCTGGCTAGAACACTGCTCGGCGGTACTCAGAAAACAGTACTCGACTGCAATGTACAATGAGGCACTGTCAGCTGAGATGCCAGGTATATAGTTCTCCCTACATTCGCGTGGAATATGCTTTCTGGAAATTTCTTGCACTGTTTTGACGAACTGATCATAGTTTGCTGGGACTGGCTCGAGGTCAGATAAGGCTTCATCCAGATTGCTGGCAAACTGCTCCTAGTCCGCTTTTCTAAAGTTGAAATGCCGTCTTAGAGGAACTTTCTGAGGTGCCTTTCTGAGTGTGGTATTGGCTCTAGGATTTCTTTTTAGTTTTGACATGTTAGTCGATCACTTGTAAAGGCCAAGTCTGGATTACAGCCTTTTTTCCATCGGCAGCTATTGAAGGAAGGAGGGAGATTAGCATCATGAATTAGGACAAGATTACCATCCTCGTTTCTTTATAGCCCCATGAGGTGCTGTGGCTGTTGAAGTCCCCAATGATTACATTAATGTGTTGGTAGCTGAAGGTTTGCGGTTCTTCAAAGGCAAATGTACAGCCTGGTGGTTTGTAAACAGAGGTCACAACTAGTTTCCCCAGGTTCACAACAAGGATTTCTATGTTGTTCCTTTCTGTCATTGAAGTCTGGTAAATGATTAGGTCTCTTTTAACAAAGATGGCGCTGCCATATTTCTCATGTGGCCTTTCAATAACTAGCTTCATTCCAGGGATCTTAGGTCGATGCTGTTGCTGACCTCTGTGAGTCTCTTGTAGGCACAAGACGTCGCAGTCATTCTCGTTGCAGTTCTTTCCAATCAGTTGTTGTTTTGCCAATGAAAGCCCCTCGGCATTGATGGACATCACTGTCATCTTCCGTCCTGGAGAGGACGTAGGCTTCCGGCGACAATCAGTGGGAGCCATCACTGGTGTTTGTAGTTGGTACAGTAGTTGGTACAGTAGATACAATAGATGATGTTGGTAGCAGAATTAGCTCAGGACTCTGTCCAGTTTCCAGGCCCGCGACGTGGACGCTTCTGCTATGGGCTTTTTCCGTGGTGACAAGCTTTGATGTACATGGTGGTGTGCACAACCTGAATTCTCCATTATTTTTAAGCATTATCGGCTGTAAATATTTTTAATATTATTAAAAGCATCTTTTTATCTCTCTTTGTGGCCATTTATTTTTTATATAGCGAAATTGAAATAGTTCAGGCTGAATTTTGCATATAATTGAATACCCCATTCAATTAAAAGAAATAAAATTGGCAAAAAAACAAACGTCCGACCTACCTCAGGGCTTGGAGTGAATGACAGCCATAACAGCCAGGGTCGT